AGTGCATTATGAGAATAACACGCACCAAAACAGTTTTCTGCATAGCTCTGTGCGCCTCGCTCATTGTACACGTATTTCTGTAGCTGCCATCCCCATTACGATAGTACCCTGTGGTTGTGTGTACTGTCTGCTGTTGGCGAGTACCAAAATTGTCTTGTAAAAGCAGTAGAAACGGGTCTGGGGGTCAGTGCAGTCAAGGTCTTGGAACGTACCCTGTTTGTGGTATTGTACAGTGGGTTCCCTTTACGCGAATTCAAGTTAAGCGCTATTTTCAAGGAACACATGTACAGCATAAAGCAAGGGAAACCAGTACACAGTAATAGTGTTTGCCAGTTCAAATGCTAGATCAGGGGTGGGCAATGTTTTTGGACATGGTGCCAAAAATGCATGCAACCTCAACTTTTAAGATGTTGGCATGCCAGGGACAGACAGCAGGGGAGTTGCGAGGGGCCCAATCCTTGTTGTGGCCGCGCAGCCCCAGCCCTTTCCCCAAGGTGCGAGTGTCAGGCAAAGTGCCTTCTCGTGCCACACTGGTACCAGTGCTGGGGAAAGCCTACCCGTGTGCTAGATCAGTGGCCTCCAAACATTTTTGATTGCGCACCCCCATCAGTAAAAAAAAAAAAAAAAACAAACACACTTTTGAGCACGCACCCCCCATATATGTATATTTATTTGAATATGTGGACCAAGTGAGGGCGCCAGCGTCAATCCGTATATTAAATATTAGTAAAGCTTTATTTTTTATCTAAAAAATTAAGAAAGAAATTAATATAAATAGAAGTTCTAGTATTTTCTCCCTGCACCCCAGTGGATCATCTTGCACACCCCACTTTGGAGACCACTGTCCTACATAATGGATTAAAGTGCAAATTACAGCTGGAAAATGGTTTTCAGTAAGCCATTCTGATTCAGCGACTCTACGTGAAGAAAAGTCATTAAAAACATACTTGTCCCCTTTATATTTTTGTAACAACAACAAATACTGAATCATATACAAGACTAGAGGGGTTTATGAGTGAATACTTCAAAAAGGAGAATAAAAATGCTTGAGCAGGCATGACTGCAGGGTATAGAGGAGTTTAGCATAAAATGGTATGGATGAACTCTGAACATTGTCAGAATTAAGAGAAACACAGAAGTTGCAGCTCAGAAATGTTAGAAATCACCACATGTCAACTGAAACCTAGCTACAGGTGTTCTGTTGACTGTTCCTGTTCCAGACAGGCTGCATATAATCAGCGATACCAGGTCTTATTTTTTTAATTGCACAAATTGCTCAACGGACATCAGTGCAGCTACTTTGGTGAATAAGGGCCGATTGATTGGTGCCCTAATTAAAAGCAATTATTTTTTTCTGGACTGACATTAACCAGCAGTAGCGCCAGTCTTGCAACCTTTACTTAGGGACAGCCCATTGTTATTTCAACTGGAATTTTGCTTAGGTAAGAGCTGCAAGATTTGCTTTAAGTAGTTACTTTTACATTAGTTATATGGTAGAACACAAACAGAACAACTGAAAATGATTGCCTTAGAGTAATAAGGCTTTGCTTCTCTGGTAATTATGATAAATGCCTTCACTGCGTCTCTGCAGGAGTCAGGCAACAAGAAGCATCTGCCAAGTTCTATTTCACTGACTATAGCTCTTGAATAACTAGAATTGATTGTGAAATTAGCTTCCTATGAGAGCCAGCAAGTTCTTTGTTAAAAAGTGCTCTCAAGAGTCCAACCTGCTCTCAAGAATCCAGGATACATATGGCCCAAATTCACTTCATTCCCCAGATATGATCTGAACAAGAAAGAAGCCACCACCAAGTTGACTTGAAACCTCCTCATATTTGGTTGCTCCTACCTGCCCTCCTTTCAGGGAGCCTTTCGTACCCACCTTGTACCTGGGTGTCCTAAGGAATCACTTGCACTGTGATAGTCATCCATAACTTAATATCCATTTCTCCAAAGTATAAGGCTATTTCAGATGAACATTACCTACCTATTCATTTTAATGGACGGACAAGTTTAACTGAACTGTTTACCAAAAAATTGTAATCGAACAGGAAATCCTTAAAAAGGTTTCTACTTTTCTCAGTGACTGATTCACTGTTAGAAAAGCTCTTTAAACTATTTTAAATGAAAATAGGGTATTCATAGATTATTAAAAAAAACAGGACTGCAACTAACAGCACAGTAATTTTTCCTACAAGTGATAACCCAATCAATTAAAAATAGAATAATGGAAGATGGATGCTAAGCTAAAAACATCTCTCAGAAGGAATGGCGCTGTTATCATGGGAGGTAACAAATATACTTTAATATATAGTTCAATGATTTAGTAGGTTTCTCAATGAGATAGAAAAACCACAAATCAAATGCGTTCCACAGCACAACTGGGGATTATTATTATTATTATTATTTTTTTTTTTTTAAAGAAACACTGTCATCGGATATCCTCCATTATTTAAACCCTATATTATCCACACAGGAATTTTGTTCGTGTGTGCACGTGTGTGTGCGCGCGCGTGCATTCCCCCCTCTCCCCCACACGTGAATACAGAACTAACTCTACTTATAGGAGTAACAGTACTATACCAAACTTAACCGCTGTGACTATTTCATATCTGTTACAGAGTACTCCCCATTTTGCATCTCTGCTCCTAGGTTCAATACAGTAACTTAACTGGTGGTATCATAACTGCTCTCAATCACAGATATCTATTAAATATGAGTCTGTTACTAATTTACACTATTCATACTGTGTTAAGCATGTGTATTTCCTCACAAAATACTACATTTTCACTTATCTCAACAGCTTCTCAGTGGATTTGGGTAACCAAAGATTCACTTTAATATAAAAATTCAATGACTTGCTTTAATTGCTAATTAAAAGTGGGATCAATCTAAACCAAAAAAAAACCAAAACAAAAAACTGAGCCAGAATATACAACTAAATATTAGCGGGGAAAGGAAAAACTGTGTAAATCCAATTCAACAGATTATGAATTGCCTGGAATCTAAATATTCCCAACTTTTTTTTTTTTTTTAAAATAGAACCCTTCCTTCCCAGACAAGTCCAACAGAATAGGAATAAATAAAAGCATGCTGACCTGCCAGTGTGCTAGTGTGTCGAAATGCTCTGACTTGTGAATCTGATAGTCCTGTAAGTAGTGAAATCACTGTATCCATCATATATTCATCATATATGATACTATATTGACACTGCCGGACCAGTACTCCAATGAATTCACAAAAACTGGATTTGAACTTCTTCCACTGAGGACCAGCCATAGTAAGTGGATAATCTCCGCTATCCTGTAAGCAGGAACAGGAAAACAGCAACAGAAAAAGGTTAAACTTCTTAAAGTCTTAGCCACCACGTAATTAAATACAATACGAAAGCATATAATATATAGAGGCTGTTGACTGTAGCTGTGTTGGTCTATGGACACAGACAGACGAGGCTCTTTGGGTAAACGTGCCGCCTTTTATTACACCAACTAAATAGCTGGAAAAATTGTTCTTTGCAAGCTTTCAGATACAAACACCTTTCTTCAGGCACAGGGACCTGTCTAGCCCCCAGCTGGAGTCCCATGGGGGGCAGGGGAGCGGGTTTAATTCCTCCCCCCACCTCAAAGTACCAGCCTGGGCCAGCATCTGGCCATGTCCTCATTCAAGGGGACAGCAGGGAAAGAGCCTGTCAAGGCTCTTTCTCCCTCTCCTCCCTAGGCACACCCTGGGTGGGGCGTTTGAACTCCCCCCCATCATACTCAGCTCAAGCAGGGATGGGGGGAAAAAGCCTCCGAGGGCTTTCCTTCCAACTGCCCAGCCACTGCCAAAAGGAAGGGAGGGCACCCCCCCAAGCTTCTGGCCTGAGCCACTGCATGCATGTGGCTGCATTTCTGGAATCAAAAATGAGCGTCTGTTCACTTGCTTCTCAGCTTAATCTACACAGGTCAGTCTAACCTGCTAAAATTGAATCAATTCCGCCTCAAGCTTTTTGATAGTCTGTACTTAGTCTAAGAAAGCAGCAAATAATGCTGCAACTGCTCTCTTGCTACCAAACTCCCAGACTCTTGGGGAGCCTCATAGGCCAGCTTACACCACTGTGGGACAGATCTGGCCCATGGACTAGGGGTTAAGCACCCCTAATCTAGTCTAACCAGAAGTGCCACGTAAATATTTCCTACGTTAGACATGATGCTCATGAGACATGGAATCACGGCTGAGATAAAGATGTCAAGAGGCATCGGTGCATCAGATTGAACGTTCTTGACACTACAAACAACTCCACTATCACCCAGTGAAAAGAATGGATGCACAGAGCTCCTTTCTGCCTCAAAATGACTTCTCAAAGCCTCTCGAGAGAGAGAAACACATGAAGGTATGTCCAGACAAAAAGTAAATCTGACACGTAATTTCTCATTTGCCTTCAGTAAGTACTTCTGCAGTGCCCTCCCCCCCACCTCCTTAACAGACTAGCAACATTACACTTCTGTAGGAAAGTTAAGGTGTACTTAGAAGGACTGAATGGCTGTCATCCTGATCTAACGTCCAACAAGAAACCACAATACTTCGTAGACATTAATTCCAAGCATCAGTATGAGAGGATTTTATGGACACACAGAAGAGAACATAACCACTCATCACATACATTATTGCCAATCCTTCTGCTACTAGAACTCTAACTTAATAAGAAACAGGTTTTGATATAGAGTGTAACCCAATTAGAAAGTCCAAAACTAGACAGGGTATTTGGTCTTATTGGGATAGGTTATAAACAAGAATGTTTTTGGATGCCTACAGTTATTCCCAAGCAGTAAGTGAACATCTTTTGACACATGACAAAATTTTCATTTTACTTTGCAGAGCCTAAGGCTAATGATAAAATCCAGAGTTATACACTGATTTCTGGGAAAAGACTGTTACCATTTTAGGCAGAAGTGTTGTATTATGTTTTAAAGCAACCTTATTTTATTAGAATATAAGGCAAGAATGATCACGGATCAGACTGACTCGCCCTAATGTTTGAGGCAATAACCAACAAGGTGGCAATTTTAAACCATCAATAGGATGGAAAACCATCAGTATGATATGAACCAAATTCAAGTCACTGGGATTTAAGGATTCATAAAGCTTGTAAGATAAATTCAATGAGTAATAAGCAGACTTCTCAGTTTAATGGTCTAGACCTAGCACTTTAAGAACCTGGACCTTTATCTCCAAGTACCCAAGTATATGAACTCCATGTAAATAATGCTCTTTAAGTACAAAGTACTGACAGTGCAGTCAACTTAACAAGCATTAATTACAGCACTGTTAGTGCCACGGTATTAGTATTAGCAGGCCCAGTACTGACCTGTTTTTTCATTTTCAAAGCTTCTAATAGCAGCACCTTGACAGCTGCTTTCCTTTCACTGTTTCAGATGCAGTTAAACCAAGTGCAATAAATTACAAAAAAGACGGTTACAGTTAGCATGCTCTTAACCAAAGTATAATTAAGCTTCAAAGTAGCCCATGAGGCTGAAATATGCCAAGAACTTCTGTTTACACACTGAACCACTATTTGGGGCTAGACTCATGCTATGCAGTGAAGTGAAGTAGGCAGTAAGCATAGAGATGGAATACACAGTACTTTAAAAAATATTTACCCGAAAATAGAAGAGAGTCCCACGTATGCATATAAAATAAGCTGACTGACACCTAAAGATTAAGACAACCTATTCTGGTTCAAAACATATTTAAGTCTGGTATCTGGGGTATATCGTTTTCCTTTCATTATCATGATGCCTAGAAACTTCAATCAAGATGGGTGGCTTGCTGTGCTGGCTATGGATAAATGTATGGTAAAAGTTAGTTGAGTAATCAGAGAATAGAAATCAGAAAAAATTCTTCAGAAGAACACTACTTTTTGTAGACACTTCTTCCAAAGAGGTCTACATTTTTATTTTTATTTTTAGAGAAACTAATTCCAGAACATGCCACTGAAGGAAAACAGTGGAGCGCTATGAGTCTTCAGAAAACATTTATGCTGATAGTTTTTTCCTTGCAAACGAGGTGCATCTAGGGATATATTTTACCCCTACTGAAAGACATGTGTACTGATGTACTCAATTTATCTCTACTGAAACAACACATAACTATGGCATCATCTAATAAAAGGATGAACAGACTGTCTTTGTTAAACAGTACAAGCACTTTGATAGCTGGTTTACCACAGAATAAACGCTGTGTTGACCTTCAAACATCAACAACTTGGCAGGATGAGAATACCAGACTAGCTTGATAACTATACAGAACTGCTTTCTTCAAAAAATAAAGGATTACTCCGTTTGGGATAACATCTCGCTGGCAATCTGGTGACCAAAGAGCCTCAGTCTTGCAACTGAAATAAGTCACCACCACCAAAATGTTCATCAATGAACATGGCTTGAGCCTTCACAGGAAACACAAGCTTCCTAAGCCAAAACATCCACACAAGGCTAACAATGAATTAATTACCTGTTATGTCTGAACATGAGATAAGTCAATTTGGGACCTTTGATACTTGCTGGTATTATTTGCAAAGACCAAGATGCTCTAAGAAGATTATTTACTTTTAGACCCATTTAAAACTTGCTTCTGCATCCATAATAGTGCTATTCTGTAAGCTAAAAACCTAACATTTTCAGTATCATTTATGACTATACAGAAATTAAATTTGTGCCTAGATTTAAGAGTTTCAACTTTACTTTTTAAACACAAGCAGACACTTCAAATCACCTGGAAGCACACAAACCTGGAAGCATAATTTTAACATTCTGAAAGGCTGATGCTACTGAAAAGGATCCCCTGGTCCCTCACCTCCTAATAGTGCCATCAGGCTCAAACAGCTTTCAAGAGTTCTTCCTCATGATGAGGTTTCAGGTTCACAATTTCCATTTTAAAGAAATAATATTGCATTAATGCATCTTGTCTTTTTTCCTGTAAGGGATCTGTATTTTTCAGACTTGCATCAAATTCAAATTTGACTTCAAAGGCACAACAATGTACAAAATAAAGTTCTACATCTGATATCATGATTCTGATTACATGAATTATTCAAGACTTTCACTCAAGAAACATGTCATTAAAACCAGTTACAAAGTTTTATTCGTATATTTAACAGATCATCTATTTTTGAAACTTAATTCTGGGAATAATGTGATCTAGCAGCGTGAACAGGTAAAACTGAAAACCTTTGTGGGTCACATGAAACTACCGGAAGTTAAAGCATTACCTCATCAAACTCTTCAGTCATTTTTCGGATTATTTCAGAATTCTGCATGTGTCGAAACATCTCTGCCGTAACAACTCCTACAATTCACAGACATTAGATTAATACTGTAGATATGAAAGAGGAATGACAGATTGCATATTACCCAAAGCAATTTAAATTGGACACTGTAAATTAACACAGGTAGAAGTTTTTTGTTTGTCATGTTCAAGTTACACAGCCAGGCAAAAAATGAATCTCATCTCACATATTCATTGCCTGCATTTAGAAGCACTATTAAAGTACAGAGGGTTGAACCAAAATCATACCTGCAGACAGTGATATAAAAAAACATTATAATTTCCCTTCAAACTGAAAATACCTTCAGGGTACATTAAAGTTTTGATTTTTAAATATTTAAAGGTATCCACATCTAGAAAAATGGACACGGTCATTTTTTAACTTTATAGTTTGGTACCCACGCCTACAGTTTACAAAACTGTGTTGCAGACAATATTCCCAATTCACATAAAAGGACAACCTTCTTTGAGACACAAGTTCTCATAACTCTTAAAGATAAGGGATGGGGTGAACTCAAAAATCCCAAAAAACACAGACATTAAGAATGCATTAGATCTTATATTTTTCTTCCTACCACCTCCTCTCCACCACAAAAAAAATCAAATCAAATCAACCAAAATAAAATTCAAGAGCATTATAGAAATTTCAAGTCAAGGCAATATAAACGGAAGTGCTGTGAGGGCAGTTTGCCCGCATCCCATAACAAGGGAAATACCAGTCCATCGATCTTTAGAAACCCTTCCAGCCCAACAAAAAGGCAAATAAGCAGCTGAAGAAGGAATGAAGGCCTGCAAAATATCACTACTCAATGCCACATCTTTTTGGTGGACAAAGTAGAAGGACAGCCCTCTCCACCAATCAGTAGCAATGGAGGAGGCCTCCAGGGCCTCTTGACCAATCATCAGTGAGGGGCAGGGCTGCTGTGAAATGTCCACGGAAATGGTTCTGTGCACTGAAAAAGACCCTTCACCTCACCCCAGTTTAGGCAGGTCCCTAGCCCTCATGATAAGAAAATGAGCAGCTGTAGCGTACAGCAGTATATCAACATGCATCTTACCTTTGCAGCCTGAACACTGAATAAAGAAGTTGATGAGATCAAGAAGTGCTATATCTCTGTCATGTTTGTATGACTCTATCCAGTCATCCACTACAGACTGGGAGGGTGGGGGAAAAAAACAAAACAAAACATTGACTCATTAGTTCTTTTTAAAAATTGGCAAAAAGGTAACTTATTACTGAGCATCAGGAGCACACAAAAGCACATGTAATTTTTTCATCTCCTATTAGCAAATGGAACTCTTAAGACTATTACCCCTGCAAAACATATACGTATACGCACACATACAATAGGAACAGAACAAATGACTACAGCATAACATTATGCTTCCTAACACATATTCTTAGAAGAAAATTTAGGTTTTAAACAAAAGAATGTTTCTTAATCTACATAAGCAGTTCTTTCCAGGTACTTCATTGGAGTCCACACTTCAGTACCTACTTCCAGAGTAAGACTGCCAGGAACTTCCTATTTTCCTTAAAATGTTGAACTTTTCATGAACTGTTCCTTGAATATCAGCTATTCAAGAGATCTTGAAAACTGGGGCAAAGACTAAGATTTTGTTCTACACTTAAACAATTTGCTATCTTAAATATACTTATAGGGCTGTATCAGCTAATGCCCCAGTAGAGACATCTACAAGGCATATCTTTTGCTGGTATAGCTTAAACTTGTGAATATGAATAAGCAATAAATGCAAAAGGATGTGCTTGTTGGTTCTACACAAGGACTTCTGTCCACACTCTCTTAAAGCCCTGATTTTTTCACATTCTGAACCAATATAACTACCAGGCCTGTGCGAAGCGGCTAGTATTTGCTTCAGATTCAGCCGATTCCAGGGGCAGCGATTCAGTGATTTGAATCATAGTCCCGAATCAATCCGGCCACTAAATCTCCAAAAATCGCCCAGGCCCACTCTACCAGCCTGGCAATGGCTGCCGTGCCCACCCCAGGTCCAGCACTTTGGAGAGGAAAAAAAAAAAAAAGCCCCAACTCAGCAGGTGCTGTTGAGTGGGGGGAGGAGAGAAAGCCCCACTGCCCCATGCTGCGTGGGGGGCTCTGCATGGGCCCCCCGAAGCCCCAAGGCCACTGCAGGAGCAGTGAGTCCAGGGCTTTTCTCAGGTCTTTTTCTTAAAGGGCTGGAGCTGGGGCAGGCGGGGCACCCATGGGGGGTCTGCAGGGCTTGCGGCAGAGCCCCCCACACAGTGTGGGGCAGTGGGGATTGCCCCCCACCCAGCAGCAGCCGGTGAGTTGGGGCTTTTTTATAAAGCACCAGGAGCTGACGTGGGAGGGGGGACAGGGGGAACAGGCAGGGGTCCCCCCGCATGGCCCCCCCCCCAATCCCTAGTACTTACCAGCTCCGAGTCCAGCTGCAGCCCCGTTGCAGCCGCTGGGGACTTTCCGAATCAAAGCTCTCTAAAATTTTTTCCAACCTTTTAATTGGTCCTGATTTGGTCTGGATTCAGAGATTCGGCCACCGAATCAGGCCACTTCTCTGCTGAAACGAATCAGGGACTGAAGCTTCACACGGCCCTACTATCCTTTGCTTTCTGAACTTTTCCATTTTCCCCCGCTCAAAGATGTATAGTAGAAACTTGAACTTTATTATAGATTTATAGATGCTAGGGTCAGAAGGGACCTCAACAGATCATCGAGTCCGACCCCCTGCCTAGGCAGGAAAGAGTGCTGGAGTCAGATGACCGCAGCCAGATGCCTTCTCTTAAAGACCCCCAAGATAGGGGAGAGCACCACCTCCCTTGGAAGCCCATTCCAAATTTTGGCCACCCTTACTGTGAAGAAGTTTTTCCTGATGTCTAGCTTAAATCTGCTCTCTGTCAGTTTATGACCATTGTTCCTTGTTACCCAAAGAAGCGCCCTGGTGAACAGAGCTTCTCCGATCCCTTCCTGCATGTCCCCCTAATGAAATTTGTAGGTGGCCACAAGATTACCTCTCAGCCTTCTCTTGCGGAGGCTGAAGAGGTCCCGGTCCCTCAGTCTCTCCTCATAGGGCTCGTCCTGTAAGCCCCTAGCCATAGGAGTGGCCCTCCTCTGGATCCTCTTGAGCATATCAACATCCTTCTTGAAGTATGGCACCCAAAACTGGACTCAGTACTCCAACTGTGGTCTGACCAATGCTGCATAGAGGGAAAGTATCACCTCCTTGGATCTATTTGTCATGCATCTGCTAATGCATGATAAAGTGCGGCTAGTTTTGCTGATGATTTCATTACACTGACGACTCATGTTCATCTTGGAGTTCACTATGACTCTGTGATCTCTTTCCACTTCTGAGCTGCTGAGAGGGTCACTTCCCAGCCAGTAGACGTGCTGGGTATTTCTGCGCCCTAAGTGCAGCACTTTGCACTTGTCCTTGTTGTACTGCATCCTATTGTGTACTGCCCACTTTTCTAACCTGCACTCATTCCCCAGAGTTTAGGGCAAAGTACACTTCACGCCCACATCCAAGTCACTGATGAAGATATTGAAGAGTACAGGTCCAAGGACCAAACCCTGCAGGGCCCCACTACCCACATCCTTCCAGGTTGATACTGACCAGGTCTACTACCCCTCTCTGGGTGCGAACACTAAGCCAATCTGTCACCCACTGGACCGTGTAAACATCTATGTCACAGACTTGTAATTTATTTACGAGAACAGAATGAGATACTGTATTGAAGGCCTTCCTGAAGTCCAAGAAAACAACATCCACCTCTACTCCTGAGTCTAAGCATTTTGTGACCCTGTCATAAACAAAACCAGATTGGTCAGGCAAGATCTCCCTGCTACAAATCTATGCGGGTTTCCCTGCTGCATTATTTTCCCACTGGACTCCCACAAACATGATCCTTCACAATCTTTTTAAAGACCTTTCCAAGGATGGAGGTGAGACTGACTCAGAACCTCCTTCCTCCTCTTCTTGAAAATAGGGACCACATTGGCCCTCTTCCAGTCCTCTGGGACCTGACCTGAGCGCTCAAACAGCCACGCCAGTGGTTCTGTTATGACACCAGTCAGTTCCTTTAGCACCCTCAGATGCAGCTCATCTAGGCCTGCTGACTTGAACACATCCAATCCATTCAAGTGACTCTGCACCAAGCCAGTTGGTGGGCTGGTGTCCCTCTGCTGCCCATCTACGAACCCATTAGGAGACTAATCTTGAGCCCTGTTCAGGAACACTAGGGCAAAAAACTCATTGAATAGCTCAGCCTTGCCCCCCCCGTCTGTCACTAATTGCTCCTCCTTGTTCAGTAAGGGTCCTATGCTGCCCTGTGTCTTCCTTTTACTCCCTACATACCTAACAAAAGACTTTTTGTTGTCTTCAATTTGTGTTGCCAGCCTCAGCTCTGTAGTTGCTTTGGCCTTTCTAACTGCCTCCCTGCAAGTACAGGCCAAGTAAGCATACTCCTCCTTAGTAGCTTCCCCCTGCTTCCACTGCCTATTATGCCTTCTTTTTTGCCCTTAGGCTCCCGTGGATTTCCCCGTGTAGCCAAGGAAGTTTTCTGGCTCCTTTCCCCTTTTTCCCCTCGTACTGGAATAGTCTCCCTCTGCGCCCAAAGGATCACTTCCTTTAGGAATGACCAGCCTTCCTGGACTCGCATCTGGCCAATACTGTTTTCCTGCAGCACGTCGTTGACTAAACTCCTGAGCACACTGAAGTTAGCCGTCCTAAAGTCAAGCACTTCCGCCCTACTAGTTATCTTACCCACCCTATGCCATATGGTGAGAATTCAATTGACTGGTGGGCACTGTCCCCAAGGTGACCACAAATCTGCAGCTCCCCTACCAGGTCCTTTCCCATAGCCAACACCACGTCCAGTAAGGCATTCCCCCTAGTGGGACCATATACCTCCTGCATTAGGAGGAAAACCCTACTGATTGAAAGGGTCAACATTAGCAAAAACCTACAAGTGAAACAGCCACCCTCACCAACATAGCAATATTATCAAAGGATGTCTAAAACCACTGTTTGGTCCTTTTCACCCTCTCTGACACTTGTTTTACGTATTCATACAATTAGAGGAAAAGGGATTATGCAACAGAAGCCTTCCTGTTGCTTCACGGACGAAGCTCTAGAAGAATCTGTAACACTGAAATGGTGGCATCCAGAGATTAATGCAGCCTCTTTAGGCAGACTTCCCAGTGGCAATTCATGATTCCATGAGACCAAATTTAAGACCATGAATCACTCTTAACTCTTCTTTTCACAAGGCTCTCTCCATCACGGATCTGGAGAGACAGCTGCCAGCACCCCTCAAATAAATGTATCTTTATTTTACCACTTTATATGGGTTATTGAAGGATTTATATCTACCTATTGAAAAAATGTGGTGCTCAAGTTACTTAAAAATAGGAATTTTCATTCTGTGGGAATTCCAAAAAGTGTTCCATATCAGAATGAAAAAAATAGGAATTAAAAAATCTCCCCCCCTCCAAATCCAAAACTTTCTAAACTTAAGTTTATTTTGCCCGGACAATTTTTTAATGCAATTTTACCTGGAAACCCAAGCTCTGCAGTTCCAAATTAAGCTTTGCAGGAGGGACCCTTGGCATCTTAGAGCACCAACCCTGTAACAGTCTTTCTGCCAAGGAGGCAGAGGGGTAAATATGGCAGACAGGGTTCCACTGAAGTCCTCCATGGTTCCAAGAAATGTCTTGGTGTCAACAAACTGGCTTTTTCTACTGGCAAGTTTCTGCGCACAAGCCCCATAACTGTATTTACAAGATCACTTGGGGACTGCCTACTCCAGAAACTTATCACAGAGTGAAATTTCCTGGCCAGGATCCAAATCGGTTCCTGCTCAGATCATTTTGATAAGCAGTAGGCAGCATATTAGAAAGTTATAGCAAAAACAATGATAGAGCCTTAATTCTGGTTTTGTTTTGTTTTTTTGTTTTTTTTACCTCCGCTTATTTAACAAGAAGAGTTTGTGTGTTACCCTTGGTCATTAGTTAATTCCTTTTAAAATGTTTATTGAGCTCTGGTAACCTCCAAGCCATTTAAAATTGCCGTTTTATTATTCCCCATCTTGGTAATTATCAACATTATGCATGTCTGAATATATAGTCATCTGAAGCTACTTGGCACGATAAGGTGTCAACCAACATCTCCTCAGGGAGATTGATAATGTAGCCCCTTACATTATAAAAGTGACTGTCATTTTTATTGTCATTATTTATACCCTCTTTACTTTCTATATTCTTGCTGACAATGAAATGGTCAGTTTCACTTTATATTCTTTATGCTGCAAAATCTGGGTTTAGGCAATCATAAGACTTTTTAAATGCCTGTCATTAAAAATTTATTAAAGATTCCAAAAAAAAGTCTGCTCTGATTTTATTACTATTATTATTTTTGCAAAACATCCATTCTGACACATTTAAATTTACAATCCTTTCAAATACCACAGAGACGCAGATCTTACCTGCATAGCACTCTTGCCCATTTTAACTACTTCAAACAGCATCATGTTTTCCACACCATTCTGTTGGTGATGCCCATTCATCCGATTTGGACCACCAGGCTTCCCTCCTCCGTTTCCACCTTTCCCCTTTTCCCCTGGGCCTTTTTTTCCCTTTTTACAAGTCTGCAAACAAAAGTGAGATTTAAATTATGGTCAAGTTATCACCCTAGGGAATCCGATAATGATACAAATAACTCTAAGCCTTTCTTCTGATGTAAACGATGATTTCTGAAGAGTAGAGTTATTGATTATGACTTATTTTATTTGAAAATGGGATCTAACCTGAAGGTAGTCATACACAGACTTATTTTTAAAATGTCTGCAATATAATATTTGTACTTAGCGAGAACAACTTGATCAAACTGCTTTCCACTTGTTAAAAATATCTGGGTATTTGTTTTATGATATGGGTAAAACAGCTTCTGAAATCCTCTTACAATATACTCCAAGACAGACACTCCTCTCCTGAGTGTCTGTCAAGTAATTCAGATGTTCAGGGAGTAATTTATGTAACAGGTTTGAAAAAAGTTCAGATCAGAGGAGTACACAGATAAAATAAACCTGTTAGGGGAAAAAGTACCAATTGTTATAATAATAAAATATTAGGTTAGCTTTATTTTTAATTATCTTTATTTGCTGGGACAAAGGAATCCTCAGCTAGTAATTTTATTGAAAGGTTTAAAAAGCCTTCACCAAGTTTCATTATTTTTAAGTACTTTTAACATAAAGAGCACTAAAATTATATTGACCAATAAACAAAACCATTGTATCAGCATGTAATCTAAGCTTAGGTACCACTTCAGTGGAATTAAGTAAAAGAACAATTAACGCTTCTTTTTGACAATACCTTACTATAGTGGTTCTCAACTTTTTTAGACTCAAAGTACCCCTCCAAAACTTTTCAAAATATAGCAGCACTCTATTAAAAAATCTGCATTTAAATATATTATGCATAATATACACATTGTAATATTATAAATATGTAAACAACTGATAGGGTCATATTTCAATTATCCCATTGCCACCACAGCCAGGTCAAACTTCACTGCATAACTCCTGCAGAGCCAGATTGGGAAGTGGCTGTGACAGGAGCATGGGGTCTTGCTGCCTCCTCTCTCATGTTAACCCTGCGTGGCATCTCCCAGAAATAAGGGAAGTGTCCCTTGCATCGGTTTTCAGAAGGCACTCTGGAGCCTAATTGAGAAGCAGCTATTACAGAGAGGCGCACCTGTTGGCATGACATTGTACAGGCAGGTCATCACACCTGCTGAGTCTTCCTGGTTCGACTCCAACAAGCCTCCTGAAAATGGAGGCACGTGGTCCAGATCTACCTGGGTTAGTTCCAATGCGCCTGGCACTCCAAGTGAGAACCGCTGCCTTAGTAACATGCATTTAAAAGGCAAATATATTCCTCTGTACTTAAATAAAAAAGTAGGAATATGAACTCTTTTCATTTGAGATTTTTTTTTAAAAGGTATGAGGTATTCACAGGCCAATTTTCCCCACTATGATACAGAGAACTTATGAGCACCAAAACATGTGCTTGTTCATTTCCATCAGCAAAAAAAAAATATTATCCCAGATTAACTAAACATACTTTTCCTTTGCCTTGTTTTTGATTTTTTCCTTCAATATCTTCAAAGTCTGTATCAGAAGAAAAGTGTGTTTCAGACTCCCTGAAAAAGACAAAGCACATAGTTACACAATTCCTTGGAAGCCAGCAATATATATAGCAGAGCTAAAATTGTATCTTCAATAAATATACCATATCAACTCTACTTGAACAAGTATTTAAAATGTGGCCTTTCATTTTAAACGCTCAGAGGTGGATGAATAAATATATAATTTTTGTTTTTCTGCATTACAAACTGAACAAAAGGTTTGATTTCTGAAGTATATGCTTTGATGAAAGAGAAAAAGATGGGTAAGAAAACCATCAGTGAAACGGTAGTTTACTAGATTCTTCACAGAACATGAATGTTTATTAAAGTTTTGTACATATGCTTCAGTTATCAAACCACATTCCATATTTTACCAACATCTGCAACAGTTGCCAAAAAAGTAAAAGCTTCCCTCAACCTTAAAAACAGAGAGGCCTGTTCTCTTGGTAAGTTCATGAAATACATGTATGCATCAACAAGAGTTATATTTATATTAAGACATGTGTAAATACAGCAATTCAAAAGCCATTTACCTTAGGAGATAAATTCAAGCTAGAATCATAAAATACTAGTTAGAATTCTCTACACTTCTATTTTAACAATTTAAAAAAGAGCTTTGTACATACTT